CCCCAAAACCCCAAAACCCCAAAACCCCAAAACCCCTCAAGTATTTATAAGATTTGAAATCGATAATATATTTATAATTTTTACGAACATGGATAGCGATAAAAACTTACTGTTTGATGAAAACTTACCTGAAGACTTTCTAAGTGAGAATGTCACTCCAGGAAAAGTTAATACTATTGCTCACCTTGCCAAGAACATGGATCATACTCCTTTCAAGTCTATCCCAGGGGGTATAAAACGACACACCGCTCATGCATACTTCGGTGAAAAGAGATTGAAGAATTTCCATGCTTCACAGTACGACTCTCGAAAAGAAACAGAATTGATATTTTCCACAAAGGTCTGTCCTAAAATCGAAGAGGTAGACCTCCCTTCCAAGCCTATGAAACTCAGTGACAACCCACACCCCAAGCCTAATCTCTCCCAGGACATCACTACCCTACTAAAAAGAGTGAGGAAGATCAATGCCCGCTCTAAAAATCCCGAAATCGATAATCCAAGTGGGTTCAAACTAACTATGAGAAACGTGAAGCCTAGCTTAGACTAGGCGTAACTTAATTTCTTAATAATGTAACGTTAATAATCTTTCTAAGATTTCTGTTGAGGATCTCTGGATTTTACAGAAAATTTTGGAATCTGGTGGATACTTAGGGAGATGGTATGGGGATTCTTGTTAATTGTGATAGATATAGGTGGGTGATTTGGCGTGGAGGGAGGTGGGGGCAGCAGAGTTTATGGAGCAGATGGGCTGGAAGTTGAAGAATAGGTGGGTTTGGAGAAGAGGAGAGTTGTTTTAATTCTTCTCTGTGATTGTTCAGAAGCTTATTTGTTGAATACTTTCCTTGTAGCTTAGGTAATGTAATCTTGGGAGGGTATTTGGCATAGTCAGTATAAGTCTGCACGTATTATCGAAGTAATTAGGCATGAGGCGAGTTCTTAACTTTTGTATTGTTCCATACAGAATATGTACTATTTAGGCTATAATAAGCTTATTTTAGCAGATTAATGAGAGAACCTGAAGCTCACTCTGGTTAAGCACTGGCTTCACTGCAGTTTGAAGCTGGTTAGAGAAAGTGTTTGGTGGTGGGCTAAAGGCAGGATTTTATACCTTTGATGAAATTTTTGGGAAGAGCTTTAGCGGTGAATGGCGGTTTAGAAGTTGATAAATGGGGTTGGCAGGTTGGTGTATTGGGAAGGGAAGAGCGAGATTTTTAAATATTTTGTGTGTTTTGGAATTATTGCATAGTGTCTATGTGGAGTTGAGATAAAGAGAGGAAATAGCTGGTTAATAAAATTTAACCTTTTCCCTTGGCCTTAGTCACTGGTTCCTATTTTAAAATTTGCACTGAATGCTTTACCTTTCCGTTGGTTAAGTTTTCTCTTCTTTCCATTCCCATCAACAACTCACAACTTGGTGAAAACTCTCAAACAAATGCTCATTTTACAAAAATCCACTCAACTCTCCAACTCCGCACTCTTCACACCTAAAAAATATCGACTAATTCTCTTAACATCCAAGATTTTACACTTCTTGATGATAACCCACTAACCCCTCTATTCTCAAGGAAAGTGACTTATCATGACTCTTATCCTTTCTCTTCGTTCCAAAAATTCCTTTAAAACCTCTCTCTTCACTGGAAACCCCATTTAAACCCGGTCGCTTGGCTTACCTTGCTCTTCTAGCTGGCGGCTAATTCTTTTTTTTAGGCTTGAGTTTCAACCCTGGAAGAGGCCTGGGGTTTTGGGGTTTTGGGGTTTTGGGGTTTTGGGG